GCGGGGCGCCCCCAGCCAGAATGGCGAGGAGGAGCCCGAGGTGAGTGCACGCCGGCTCGGGCTGCCTTTTCCCCGTGACGCTTTACGGGACGGAGGCCCAGAGAGCGCGAGCTGCTGCCTGGAGGACACACAGCGGGGGGTAGAGGCAGGTCTGGGCCCCCAGCGTTGTAGCCCAGGGTCGGCAGCTCAGAGGTGGTTACGGGGCACCTGCCATTCTCCATTCATTCATTCATTCATTCACTCACTCATTTGTCCCAATAACTACGGATCATGCTGCAAGGTCATAGCAGCGTTGCTCACAATAGGCAGAAGGTAGAAACAACCTGCATGTCCATTGATGATTCGTGGATAAACCAAGCGTGGTCTGTCCAATCAGTGGAATATTACTCAGCCATGAAAAGGGATGAAGCGCTGACACGCCATAACATGCATGAACTTAGAAAACATGCTACATGAAAGTAGCCAACACAAAGGCCGCATGCTGCATGATTCCCGTGACTTGAGGTCGAGAACAGGCAAATCCACAGAGCAGAAAGCGGACGGTGGCCGCAGGGTCTGGGGGCCGGGAGGCGGGGGGCGATGGGGAGTGAGTGCTAATGGCGACGGGGTTTCCCTCGGGTGATGAAAATTTCTGGAATTAGTGGTGATGGTCGCACAACTCAATGGACTAAAAACACCGAATTCTGTACTTTTCAAAGAGTGGATTTTATGGTACATAAATTACATTTTATTTTTTAAATAATTTTATTGATTTCAGAGAGGAAGGGAGAGGGAGAGAGAGATAGAAACATCCGTGATGAGAGAGAGTCATGGATCAGCTGCCTCCTGCACACCCCACACTGGGGATGGAGCCCGAAACCCGGGCCTGTGCCCTGTCCGGGAATCGAACCGTGACCTCCTGGTTCATAGGTCGACGCTCAACCACTGAGCCACGGGCCAGGCTTGTGTGGTCTTTTAAGTACGCAAGGAAAGCAGACAGGAGCCATCGGGCGAGGCCGGGTTTCGGGCTGAATTCGCGCGGTCGGTCCCCTTTGCTGGGCCTGGGGCACAGGAAGTGGCCATGACGGGGCCCAGGCAGCAGGGAGCGTGCGCAGGGGCCAGGCCTCGGGATGGAGGCCCTGATGGAGGCGTGACCCCCTGACGCCTCTCTGCACAGGCCCCACTGCTTGTCGGCCGGGCTCCCCGACCTCCCCAGGGAGCAGCGGGGCCGGGCCTCTCCCTCCGGCTGTGCCCAGGGCGCCTCGTGGGAGCAGCGGACAATCCGAGATAACCCAGGCCACCTCCACGGTCCCTGGTGCCGTAAGCCTAGAAGGCCCGCAGCCGATCGGGGCTGCCCCAGGCACTGCATCAGGACCCGTGGCCTCCGGAGAAGCCCGAGCCCCCAGCTGTCCCTCCTCTGCACCCCGGGCAGCGGCCCCAGAGGCAGGACCTGATGGCAAAGCTGCCTGGCAAGCCCCCAAGTTCTAAGGGGCTCAGACACTCCCTGTGAAACAGCCTCCCCTCCAGAGAGAGAGCGCTCGGGCTCCGAGGAGCCTTCGGTGGGGCTGATGGCAGCCTCTGGGCTGAGCAAGGGGAGGCGCCGGCTTGAGAGCAGTGTTTATAGGGGTCCCCCAGTCCGGCGGGAAGGGCTCCTAGGCATATTGTTGGGTTATCGAGGGCGAGATGGAGAAACACAGGCCCGGAGAGGGGCCGGCAGCGCGCCCCAAGGCCTCTGGGAAGGGAAGCCTCTCAGTTCACTTATATATTTTAATTGATTTCAGAGAGGCAGGGCGAGGGGCAGAGAGACGGAAACAGCAGTGATGAGAGGGGATTACTGATCAGCTGCCTCATGCACGCCCCCTGCACCCTGAGCATGTGCCCTGACCGGGGCCAACCGTGACCTCCGGGGTCATGGTCGGCCACCTGGCAGCCCCAGCCAGGCTCATTGTGTGGACGTATTCATTCGTGTTAGATCAGGCTGACGTAGAGCACTGTGTGGGTGAGGGTGTGCGCGTGCTGCCTGGTCGGTTACTGTGCTGCAGTGTGAGTCCACCGTAGCGTCAGCCCAGCTTCCGTCACGCACGGCACTGCCCTTCCCTTTCTGTGGTGGGAGGGAAACCCGCCGGCGTCTGGTCCGCTGGTGGCACTTCCCGGCTCTGGGCAGCCTCTTGAGGGCTTCTCGCCTTCCCGGGCGCGGGGACGCCTGTCACATGGCCCCTCCCAGAGACTCAGGAGCCGGGGACCTGCCCCAGTGACGGCAGTACCTGAGTTCCGGGGAGGGAGGGCCTGGAGGGAGTGTGGAGCCTGAGATGGGGCCACCGAAGGGGCCCGTGATGCCTCGGGCTGAGGCCGAGAAGGAAAAAGCTGTGGGGAGTCAGCAGCCGTGGGAGGAGCAGGTACAGAGAGTGGCAGCTACGCAGCAACAGTGTCCCCGTGCGGGTCCAGTGTGACCCAATCTTCCCATTTTTATCCAAAAGGAAGCCCAAAACCTAAGCTTTAGTGTGAAGTCTTCTGATCTAAACTCTTTGGCCACTGATCAAAAGTCTTGGAATATAGTCAGAGCCAAACAAAATGAGGGGCAGAGACGGGGGGTGGAGGGTGGCATAGTTCCTAGCAAACTCCTACACATCCGTCAAGACCCCATGCACGGAGACCGCATCTGCAGTAACGCCTTCTGCGACCCTCTGTTAGAGCTGGGTGTCTCGCACCCTTTCACTCTGCTTGTTACCGAGTGAGTTTCCATTTATGTGGCTCTTCCCTCCACCTGCACATTCCTGTCTGATTCATCTCATTAGCTCAGTGGCCAGCAGCACAAGGTTAACGCTTCACACATGCTGAACGCGTGTTAGACATTCAGGGGCGCTCCGTGGTTAACCTGGGCAGGGGAAGAGAAATGTCGCCATTAGTGAGCTCCTGCTGTGTACCGGGCACCGGCCACACGGGTCGTGGGTGGGGGCACCGTCAGAGTCTAGCTGTGCAGAGGGCTGCCATGACCACACAGCCCAGCTGGAGGCGTGCCCCGCACACGGGCTTTCCTGGGAGGCGAAGTCCTCCAGCACTTCCTCCCCTGGTTCCTGGGTGGGTGGGGGCCCTACTCTGATCCCCAGCTGGTGTGTGTGTGTGTGGGGGGGGTGTCAGGTTTGGGTTTCCTGCTGCCTCTGCTGCTTGCTGACTCCGGGTCACCCCCTCCCCCCCCCTTGCCTGCCAAGTGGCCCTTCTGTCACCTGACCTGCCCCGAGGGGGGGGTGTCTCCTTTCAAGTGTCCTTTCCCAGAACAGCCTGTCCGCTCCCAGGATGCCTTCTGGAGCCCAGCATCCCGGCCGCGCCCCTGACCCAGGCCGCGTCCCCTTGGCCTGTGCCGCTGTGGGGTGTTTGTTTTGGGGGTCGGGGAGGGTCTTTATTTCAATCCCTCATTCTCCTGTTCTGGAGCGTTCCCTCTTGTCCTGAGTTTTTCCTCCTTTTTTTAATTTTATTGATTTCAGAGAGTAAAGGAGAGAGAGAAATCAATGAGAGAGAGAGAAACATCAATGATGAGAGAGAATCATGGATCGGCTGCCTCCTGCACGTCCCCCACTGGGGATGGAGCCTGCATCCCGGGCCTGTGTCATGACCGGGAATCGAACCGGGACCTGGTTCATGGGTCGACGCTCAACCACAGAGCCATGTCAGTGGGCTTATCGTCATTTGCTTAAAGTTCCTTTTTCTGGCAGAGGGTGGGAGGACCAGGTTTGGATCTGGCCTGGATCAGGTGACTTAGCATGCTGGGATCCGTCCGTGTGACCCTCTCCCCGCCTACACCCCCCGAGCTGGGCTTCCACTGAACCCCAGGGAACATGCCCACGGCCACGGGGGAGGAAGGGCTCAACCAGAAGGCTGGTCACAAGTGGGAAGAGGCATGTGACTTAATCACAAATGAAAAAGGTAGAGCGAAGTATGCGCAGGCGCTGATCCCAGCTGCTCTGGCCCGATCCATCGATGGATCGCAGCGGGCTGAGTGAGGCTGGGAGAGGGACACAGGCGGGTCTGAGGTGGCGGCCTTGGTGTTTCTCTCCTCCTTGGCCGCCTCTGAATGCAGCTGGTAATGAAACCCCGAGTCAGGTGGGGAGGCGCGGGGTCTGGGTGTCCGGTTGGGCAATTGAGAAGGCAGACAATGGACAGGTGGCCGCCGGCTTTCGTCCCCAGAGGACTTCACAGAAGGGGAGCGGAGGCCGCGGGTGCCTAAAATAGCGCCCTGGGCGAGCCGCTGGGGCTGGGAGGGTGGGCAGTGGGCGTGACAGGATGCGGCCAGGAGCTCAGCAGCATCTCTGCCTCCTGCAGGCGGAGCCCGGCGGGGAGGAGAGCATCTCGGAGGCGGAGAAGGCGGCCATGGACCTCAAGGACCCCAACCGCCCCCGCTTCACGCTGCAGGAGCTGCGGGACGTGCTGCACGAGAGGAACGAGCTCAAGTCCAAGGTGTTCTTGCTGCAGGAGGAGCTGGCATACTATAAGAGGTGAGCGTCCGGGAGCCCCGGGAACCCCCGGGGTCCTGCGGAGCCTGGGGACAGTGAGCTCCTAGAAGACAAGGGTTGCATCTGCGTCTGTTCTGGGGCCTCTCTCTGGCCGAAGTCTCATTCTGGGAAGGCTTCATGGAGGAGGTGGCATTTGAACGGGGCCTGCTCTAAAGGAGAGGGTACCCTT